AGCTGCTAATAGGAACTAATGTGCCAAAGGCCTTGGAACCCTTAGAAGTGATCCGTAGCGTGAACGATGGACCTTATGCCATCAAAACAATTCTAGGGTGGACTGTTAATGGACCATTGGTAGGAGACAGCAGCGACGCATTTGACATTGTCACAGTCAATGGAGTTTCGGTTTCAAACTTGGATAAGCTCTGGTAGCAACAGTTCAAAACTGATTTTCCAGAATGCAGCCACGAGGAGCAACCTGCTTTGTCAAGGGAAGACCAAAAATTCATGAAGCTGGTCAGAAATTCAGTGAGCCTTGTGAACGGACATTACCAGATTGCATTGCCCCTGAGAGAATGTAAATTAAACATGCCAAATAACAGAAAAGTCGCAAAGCAGTGTACTCTAAACCTTCGAAGGAGGTTCAAGAGAGATGTGTCTTTCCGACAGCAGTATGCAGACTTTGTGGACAATCTCGTCTCCAAAGGATATGCTGAGCGAGTATCTGCGGAGGAACCGACTCGTGATGATGGGAGATTGTGGTATATCCCACACCATGGCATCCACCACCCTCGAAAGGGGACGATGCGGGTGGAGTTCGACAGCGGAGCACCTTTCCAGATGACATCTCCCAATGATCAGCTCCTGCAGGGACCAGATCTCACCAGCTCATTGATAGGTGTTGTGACCAGATTCAGGAAGGAACCAGTGATAATCTTGGCACAAATAGAGTCCATGTTCCATCAAGTGAGAGTACCAGCAGAAGACACGGATTTGCTGAGGTTTCTCTGATGGCCCGATGGTGACTTTGCACAAGAACTGGTGGACTTCAGAATGAAGGCGCATCTCTTTGGTGCAACTTTATCACCAAGTTGTGCTAGTTTTGCACTTAGAAAACGTGCTGTCAATGAAGGGCAGTTCAGTCTGGAAGCTATCGAGATGGTTTTAAGTTGACTAAATGGACGAGTAATCAACGTGCCGTGATTACAGCAATACCAGAAGATCAAAGGGCAAAAGACAGAAAAGGACTAGTACGGCTACTTATCAAGACCAATTGTTTAGATAGGACAATAACCAAAGTCCGTTTGCTACTGGAAGCCGAGGTCTGAATAGACAATTACCTTTGACTGACTTATCTACTCACACGACAAAAGGTGGTGGTAAAGATCACCTTGACAGGCTAAGTGCTTGAACCTCTGGCCTAGACTAGACTCGTTCGTGAAAGAAGATGACTACACCCCCTTACTGGAATATTAATCATGGGCATTCATTTGATGTATGTTTTATTGTGTTTTTTGTAATTACTACAGTGTTATAATTAGGGGCTGGGATGTAGCGGCCGTCTGCCACTTCCTGTGTGTGAGTGTTGGTACTTTTATTTTGAAATGTAATTAGCATCAGAATCACGTGGGCAGGTGTGCAGTGGTTTATGAATGGGCGTAGGCATCTAGGCGGAGTGATGGTTGTATGGACATGGGGGTGAGTCGGGAGACGATACTTTTTGTTGACCGTATTCTACAGCGCACTTTATTGCATCGTCGCACAGCATGTATCGCTTCGCCTGCTTGGATGTTTTTTAACTTGACTTTCGGACAATAAAATCAATGAACTTCACAGGAGGAATCTGCGTCTGTTTGGAACGAGTCCACACACCAATCTCCCGTACTTAGCCTCACGTGACTCTACCGGATTGTAGTCACCACACTAGCATTTCCCAAGCAATAACGGGACCAAACGGCTGACAAGTAGCTAAAACAGCGTGCCAGCACTCTCCCTCCCCTACGTAGTCTGACAAACACACAGGCCTACGTGGGAGGGAACATGGCGCTAGCTAACATGGCTTTAACATGGCGTTAGCTAGCGTAGCGCTAACATGGCGCTGGCTAGCATTGCACAATCAATAACAGTACCAAACGGCTGACAAGTGGCTCAAACAGCCAGTGAAAATCTCTCATGTCTTTAGATAGCTAGCTAGGCTGTCTTTGATTGCCTTTGTGGCACTGACTCATGCAGACATAATACTACCGGTATTTCTACTGCTATTAATTATTCAACAACTAATAATTTTACTACTGCAACTAGTAGTACTACTGCAAATGATACTATTACTATCAATACTACTACTGGTATTTCTACTGCTATTAAAATGACTCCTAGTAGTGGTACTAAAATACTACTTCTAGTAGTGACTCTGCAACTGACACTACTAGGAAAAAGTACTGCTAGTAGTTCTACTGGCATTATTACTACTAATGTTACTACAAATACTATTATGACTAATAGTATTACAGCTGTTTCTACTGCTATTGATACTAAACCTACTATTACTACTTCTACCGCTAGTACTACGTATACCACAATTACAACTATAACTAATACTACATACAATTTTAAACCTCTTTTTATTCATCTCAGCTTTTGTTATTTCTGTATTTTTTTAAATTCATTTACGCTCCTGCAACTTCTGTATTTTTTTGAAAATCTATTGAAATTCAGTTTTCCCCTTTCTGTATTTTCAGCAGTTCTTTAAGATAATTTCAGCTCTTATGCCTGTATTAACAGCAATGTTAAAATATTAATTTCTGTATTTTTTTTGCAACTTTTCACATTCATTTCAGCTGTTTTCATTTCTGCTTTTTCAGCAAGTCTATTGAAATTCCTTTCAGCTTCTCTCATTTCTGTATTTTCAGCAATTTCAGGAGACTTAAGCTATCAATCTACCTCTGGGTGAAAAATGAGCCGAAACGTTGAGGCATTGACTCCGTCGGGCTCGGGTCGGGTTCGGACAAAATAGTTTAAAGGCTGTCAGACTTGGGTCGGACTTGGGTCGGACTCGGGACAAACTCTGTCGGACGCGGGCCGGGCTCGGACAGAAAAAGTCGGCCCGATCCATGCTCTATCGCGCACCCCAAGGGGTGCCCACACCACACTTTGGGAATCCTTGCTCTAGGGTGTAGTATAAAGCAGTGCATGTACCTCTGGGGTTAAGTATGAAGTACTACATGTACCTCTCGGTTGTAGTTTAAAGCACTGCATCTACATCTGGGTGTAGTTTAAAGTACCACATGTACCTCTGGCCATGGTGGGTGCTCCACTGCTGCTCCAGTTTGTGTTGGCCTCCCTTCAGGTAGTCGTTGGTCAGACTCTCAAGACGTTTCTTCTTGGCCTGCATCATCTTGCTCATGAGCTGGAGATAAATAATAACAACACAGATGCTTATGTCCCTACTTTGACCCCATATTGCAAGTTCTATGGATTCAAGCAGTATTGATTCAATACGGTATTTGAGTAAAAACAATTTAAATGTGACAACAATTCAACAACAATCGGATAAAGTGGAGGAATGCTTCGGCCTCCCAGTTCCTTTGGTAAACTGTTTGTTGTGTGTGCTTAACAGAGGAGATATACGGTTAAATGTGAATTTAACGCTTGCATGTTCCAACAATAAAACAAAACACTCGATTGGTCCACATATAACGTCTGCATCAGGGCTGTAGTGGAGGGTAAACGCACGTAAACGCCGTTTACGCACCTCTGGAATTTTGGAAATAGCGTTTACGCACCTATAAATAGCGTTTACGCACCTCAAAGTTACCTGCGCCTTGTATTCTTCCGTTGGAATAATCCGAAATAAACTTGGTGTAATTTTAAAACAGCTAAGACTACGTTTCCTATTGTTGAACATATAAACGCCGTAGTCTGAATCATGTTCATCTGCGCTGTATTACGGTCTGTGAGCATCCAATCAGTGCCTTGCGGCTGCAGCAGCGACACCAATCAGGATCCAGGAGGTGTGTAAACACATACATGCTGTGGATCAGCCCAGTGGTCCCCAACCTTTCTTACCTCACGGACCGGTTTCATGTCAAACAATATTTCGCGGACCAGTCGAGAAGGTCCGACGGGGGGGGGGTGTAGTAGTCGCGCGCTCTGTGTTCGCTGGTCGTGCACGGCAAAAGAAAAACGCCTGGTGACGCGTAGATTAGAAAACAAGTCAGTTCTCAATGTGAAAAAAAACATGCTGTATAGGCTATTTATGATGACATAGGTAGTACATGAGTGTTCCTTTAACTTATGTTGTCAGTGTAATTGACAGGCTGCTTAACTGGTTAACTCTTAGTTCAACATATTTTTTCAGGCAGTGAGAGGACAGGCAATGATGCAGAGAGCACAGGGAGAGGAGAAACACCAGGTCGAATAGAGAGAGGAGAAGCACAGAGGAGCCTTGAACCCCAGAACATATGTTCTGGGGTTCATGGCTCCTCTGTGCAAGGCAGGACCTGACGTGGACCTGACGTGGAGGACAAGGAGGCCCTCTGGGCACTACTGTAAAAAGGAGACTCCATATGTAGATAGTTCTTAATCTGCAATTGTCTTGTTGTGTTGTGTTGACATACTTTTCTTTACTGCTTTCTTAGATTTAATAAACTACAAACTACTAACACATGTATTCATTGTCATTGATTGTATATGACTTTTACTGATAACATAATGCAATATAGCCAGGACAGCCTTACAGAGTCGCGACGCTTTGTGTTGCGTTGCTTCACATTGCGTCGAGGTCTGTATGATCACAAAATTCAGAGTTTGCCGACCTCTAATTTTACCACTACAGCACTGCTCTGCATGGAAACAAACTCACAATATCGCACAACAAATCTGAAAAAGAAAAGAAAGACAGCAAGGGATCAACCTCATTACTTTTATTAATATTTTAGGTCCCCTTCCCCTTCAAGTGACGTTTGACTTACGGAGAATTGCCATCTGTCTTTTCAGAGACTGAAACTGACGCCTACAGTTCCTCCAACTCCCCCTCTCACACACACACACACACACACAAACACACACACACACACACACACACGTCAATAATCACCTGTGTGAAATGCTTGGCCAACCTGTCATGCAGCTTTGGAGCACAAGTTAGAAGTGTCATTATGGAACCGAATTCAGCACTTCTCATTTTTCCCATGAGTAGAACAGATTCAATTGCAAACCCAAAAACCACAACACTAATTTCCATTCACCCCAATGACATTTTTTATTTGAAGGAAGTCCAGTTTAAAATGTCTGAGTTTTTTGGTCTCTGACAGGAAAGAAAAAATGCTGATGTATAAAGAGCAAAAAGTTGGCTGTGTAAAAGTGCACCTACATCGTCTTTGGCAGGTTGAATTTCTTCAGCTGCCTCAACCTCTGCTGAGCCTTCGGAAACGGAAGGAATCCACAGTAGTGACGGGGGAGGGTGGGACTCTGAAATCTTCTTCCTGAAATCCACAACCATCTCCACTGTCCACCTCGCTGTAAATGCAGTCCAGGATTGTGTAGTCTGCACGAGGAACACACAGAGGGCCGTTTACAGATCAATAATCAAGTATCTCAGGATTCAGGAAACATTTATTGCCATAATATGTCAGACATATAAGGAATTTCAATCACAATGCTTCTGTGACTTCATCATCATCATCATCATCATCAGGAATCAGGATCAGGAAACATTTTTTGCCATAATATGTCAGGCATACAAGGAGTTTGACTTGGTGGTTGGTGCGTAACACCAGACAGTATGACAGTAGATGACAAGACAACAGTGCAAGAGGAATAAAATAAAATATAAGTCAATGGGTTAGTTTAAAATAAAGGAATAAAAGGTCACAGGGTGACGTGGCGGCCCATTTACAAATATTCCATCAGACCCTTAAAAGGCACTTAATGCATTAAAAGCAAGAAAACAAAGTTGATTTTTGTCTTCTATGTGGTGCAAAGTTAAGACAGAGTGTTTAATACAATATCTGTTTGAAATCAGTAAACACCCAATCAGGGCACTCACCACGATGATGGTGAAATTCCATGTATGCAGTGTACTTGTTTGGCCAGAGATACAATCTTTTCAAGGTTCAAAGAGCTAAATTAGTGAGTGGATTGTTCATGGTAAAAAAAAGGAATACGTGGGGGAGGAAAGTACATGATGTTGCAGAGAAGGGGACAATTTCAGAACAGGATCGGTTTTGTGGTATTACACTTTACATCAATCAACTACCAATTCTCTATGAATCTTAAACCAGTATTCTAATTTTAATGTTAGAAAACACCTTAAAGTATGTAAAATAAACAATATGCTGTGACATTGTCTATGTCATGAGTACTTCAGGAATAAAAACGGTAGCTCTTTCCACTATCTATTCAATTTATCTCCACGTCTTTTCCATCTGGACCAGACATGCCGAACACGTAGCGCCTCTGTGAAAGAGTCAAGCCTCGGGCCTTCCCTTCTCATCCATGTGTGTGTTTTTGGCATCTAGAACCGGGCAGCAGTCCTGTGTCTTCACAGACAGTCGTACATGTGAAGTGTGCGCTCCAGCTGCTGGACGACGCGCTGGTAGAAGGCAATCTGCTCCGTGAGGTAGGCCTGCATCACGTCTTTGAAGTCCACCTCTCTCTGCCGGTGGAAGTGGCTCATCTCGGCCTGCAGGGCGAAGCCGACCGTCCGGCAGCGTTTCCTGATGCCGTCGGCCTCGTCCTGGTCCATCTTCCCGTCATCGCTCATCCGCTGGCTCTCCTTCACCTTGGCAAAGGCACCTGGGTTATGGAAAGAAAGTTGGATTTGAATTTAACAGCATTGTGTCATTATACAAACAATAACAAGAAATACTCCACACAAGTAGTTACTTTCTACAAAATAGTATATAGCATTGTCAAACCAATACCTTTACCCTCAGAAATTCACTCGTGTAAATCTGCACAGAAACAATCAGCGTGGTTACTTGTATTCGAATAACTGGCTTAGTCGGACTGAAATCGAATTATCCGTTTCATGTAAACACCTTTGTCCGACTATGTGCAGTCCGACTACGATCCCATTAACACCCCTGGATAACTCGATCCGATCCAGTTGATAGTTCGACTATTGCGCCATGTAACGGTCGCCGCCCTCCTTCCTCCCAGGTCGTGACCCAGAAGTCGAAAGAGACTGCTGGGAGCCTGGCTGGCAGAAAACAAACAAACAACGCTATGGACAACACAAGAGTCCCTAGTAGAGCACAAGGGAGTAGATTTGGGTGTTCGGTTGCCAACTACCATGGGTAAGTTAATTTCAGTTGCATCACACTAAAACAAGTGCTAGATACCAGCAGTGCTGTAGTGGTAAAATTAGAGGTGGGTAAACTCTGAATTTGTGATCATACAGACCTCGACGCGATGCGAAGCAACGCAACACAAAGCGTCGCGACTCTGTAAGGCTGTCCTGGCTATATTGCATTATGTTATCAGTAAAAGTCATCTACAATCAATGACAATGAATAAATGTGTTAGTAGTTTGTAGTTTATTAAATCTAAGAAAACAGTGAAGAAAAGTATGTCTCCACAACACAACAAGACAATTGCAGATTAAGAACTATCTACATACGGAGTCTCCTTTTACAGTAGTGCCCACAGGGCCTCCTTGTTCTCCACGTCAGGTCCTGCCTTGCACAGAGGAGCCATGAACCCCTGAATTGACGTGTTCTGGGGTTCATGGCTCTTCTGTGCTTCTCCTCTCTCTATTCGACCTGGTGTTTCTCCTCTCCCTGTGCTCTCTGCATCATTGCCTGTTCTATCACTGCCTGAAAAAATATGTTTATTATATAATATACAATATTATATATATTATATAATATTTAAGAGTTAACCAGTTAAGCAGCCTGTCAATCACACTGACATAAGTTAAAGGAACACTCATGTACTACCTATGTCATCATAAATAGCCTATACAGCACGTTTTTTTTCACATTGAGAACTGACTTGTTTTCTAATCTACGCGTCACCAGGCGTTTTTCTTGTCCTTTTACCGTGCACGACCGGCGAACACAGAGCGCGCGACTACTACCCCCCCAGTCGGTCGTTCCGCCCGCAACGACTATTACCCCCCCCCTCCCCGTCGGACCTTCTCGACCGGTCCGCGAAATATTGTCTGACATGAAACCGGTCCGTGAGGTAAGAAAGGTTGGGGACCACTGGGCTGATCCACAGCATGTATGTGTTTACACACCTCCTGGATCCTGATTGGTGTCGCTGCTGCAGCCGCAAGGCACTGATTGGATGCTCACAGACCGTAATACAGCGCAGATGAACATGATTCAGACTACGGCGTTTATATGTTCAACAATAGGAAACGTAGTCTTAGCTGTTTTAAAATTACACCAAGTTTATTTCGGATTATTCCAACGGAAGAATACAAGGCGCAGGTAACTTTGAGGTGCGTAAACGCTATTTATAGGTGCGTAAACGCTATTTCCAAAATTCCAGAGGTGCGTAAACGGCGTTTACGTGCGTTTACCCTCCACTACAGCCCTGGATACCAGATGCTAGCTGATGCTGTTTGTGAGATGTGTTAGCAGTGCTAATATGTGTTGAATATGGATGAATCAACATGTGTACCTTCCCATAACTTGCGAGGAATTAAATCAACGATGAAAACAATGTACAATCATAAATTGTAAGGCTAACGTGGGTCCCACTTGATAACCGTAACTTTCGAAGCTAACATGGGTGCCACTTGCTAGCTAGCCCTTAGTCTTTGAGAAACGTGTAGATCTTCCCGGTAACTTGTAAGGATTTCAATTTAGAATGAAAGCTAGTTACAAACGTAATAAAGTGTACATTACATAAACTGTACTTTCTAGATTTGTTTTTGCACTATACTTGAGTTTTTATGTTTCTTTGTCTATTTTTATGTGCATGTAATTTCTTTATGCACGTTATTGCGCACGTAATTATGCACGTATTTGCTGTAAAGCACTTTGAACTGCATTCTTTTGCATGAAAGGTGCTATACAAATAACGTTTTATTATTATTTGTGCTGTACCATCTTATAGATACTACAATGGACCCGGAAGAGACGCTGCTCGGAGGCTCATCTGGAACCTCCTTACCTAGGTCAATTCCACCACCTTCTACTCCACTGTATGCTACCTCCTCAGTTAGGTCGACTCTAGCTTGCACTCCACCACCTTCAACTACTCCACTGCGTGCTACAATTACCGATGATCTACCTGTTAATTTCTGCAATATTATAACTGCATCAACATATGGGCATCACAAAGAATCTTCATGCCATGCTTTCACTCATCCTGTGTAGTCTAACAAACAGCTGATGTCAAGATGGTTACTACCACATGCCTAATCGGTAGGAATACAACTGACTTTATACCTCCATTTCTTAAAGGAACGAGGACCCAGCAAACAAGGCAAATGAGAGACGTCGATGTGCTGGTAAACCAGATGCAAGTCATGACTCAACAATGGAAGGAGGACATGGCAAGAAGTGAGGCCCGGGAGGAACGGTTGATCGCCAGCATCCTCCGCACTGACAGTATGGTTGAGAAGCTGATGCAGAGAATGGATAACATTCAACCTCAACCAAACACATTGTCACCACCACCACAACATCAACCACCGCAAGATGCGTATTATGGTTATGGATGCCTTACTTATTTGCACTACCGCCTGAAAAGCACCTTACCGTTCATACAGCACAATTTCTACACTCTACCTCAGTGTGTGTATATATATATATATATATACACATACACAATCATAATTTATATATATAAATATTAGTTTTTTGTGACATTCAAGGTTTTACCTTTTATACTTGTGTGCTTTTATACCTTGTTTAACTTTTCTTAATATTTCTTATAAATAAAACACTTAAGTAAAACTTCTGTGAGTTTCTTTATTTGTGGAATGAAACACACATGAACTGTACAAGAATTGTATTTACAAACCTATGACAAACTGGCAATTATGTAATGAAGACGTCTAAAGGTATGGTCAGCGCAGGGGGAAGTTTGCACTCAGGTAATCTGTGAGGTCGGCTCTGATCCTCTGTCCATTTGTGTTGTCTGCGTGATTGTTGGCACGACCACCTGGCTGTGGCAGGTTCGATGCAAGTGTAGCCGCTTCCACTGACCGGTTGGGATTCACAACTTCCTTCTCATTCTCACAGAAATTGTGCAATGCACAACAGGTAGCAATCACTTTAGAGGTGAATGTAAAGTGGAAGTCACTACGCTTCATCAAAACTCTCCAGCGTGACTTCAGTCTCCCAAACGCAATCTCCACCGTGGTCCTTGCAGAGCTTAAGTAGACATTGAAGGACTCTTGCTCAGGGGTGATGTTTGGGGAATGGGTGTAGCCTTTCATGATCCAGTCCATGAGAGGATACGCTGGATCTCCCAACAGGAAGTGACCGATTGAGACGCCATCGAATTCTCTTGGTTCCTGGGAGGAGAAACAGAAATGGTTACCAGTGTTGGACTTGCTTACTAAATGGCTCAGCATAAATAAAACATAATATACATAAAAACATCCTCTATAAAACATCATACTACTTTAAGCTTGTAACATACCTAGAAATCTCAATAGCTTGGTGGTAGCTCCACTAGTTTCTGCATGAATAACTTTCAGTAGCTTCACTCATTTATCTTATTGATTTTATCCATACATTAATATGTCTTCAGAGTACGACTTACTTTTGGTAACAGGTGTGCCTGGCTGAGCACGTTAGCGCCATGAGCACACCCAGGCATCTTACAGCTGATGCTCCAGAAGCTTAAAGAGAACAATTTGTCAGGTTTTAATGGCACACACGACACACTGTAACACACACGTGAATATATGTAGGCGACACAGGACACACACACAAACACGCACACGCAGGCCTGAGGTCGCGGTGAATTGAACATATCAGTAAGCATTCACGTTGCACAGTGCAGACAACTAAATGTATTTGGACCAAACTTACCAATACATGTCGTCCACTACGCCTTGGAGGACAGCGGTATTGGTGCTCGAACAGTCACCTCCGCGGGCTTCATGACTCCTTTCATAATTCCACACAACTTGTGGAAAGATCGCTTTCCAGTCCTCGTCATCAAATACGGTCAAAACATCTCTCTCCCAGAAGACTTTGTTTCTGCTCTTCATCCAGAGTGCTCTTCGAGACCTTTGCGGTACAATGGCAGAGTTCAACAATATATTGTTGGTCAGAATTAAATTCTCCATGTACCTTCGGCGACGGCGTCTTCTCTCCGTTATCAAATCAGCCAATAGCGCCATTCGCATTGGCTGTACTTTTACTCCTATTAACGTCATGCAAAAATAGTAGAGGGATGTAGCTTCACCTTGCTCTCCGTTCGCCATCTTTCTCGTAATGTTGTTGTTGTTGTTGGTTGTTGTTGGTAGTGGTGAAGAGGTCAAGCGGAAATGGCTGTATCACAACTAGTTGTAATGAAAACAGCGCCACCTATCGTATCGGATATGGCGATATGCTTTCGGCCAATGATCCGATTTATTCACTGCCGTGTATATTGGGATAATAGCACCGCCCCCCGAAAGATAACATAGTCCGACTAAGCAAAGATTCCAATTATACCATCATGTAAACACACTGAATTACTGTTGGTTTCAGTTGCATACCACACCTTCTAGTTTCAGGATGTTGTTGACGGATTCTGACCACGTTAACCCGGACTGACCGTGACGTCGCTTTGCATTAAGGAATGAGGCGGGCCAATGGCTCGTTCCCACACTGCCTTTCCTAAGCAGACCATGGAGTCTGCCTCAGTCAGCCTCCAGCCGGGCTCGATCTCAGCAGGAAGACTGATTTCTGCCGTGCGGAAAGTGAGCAGGACTAGTTTCCGCGTGCAAGACGCTACGGCTTTTATGTATCTGCTGCAGGTTTTATCCACTAACTCTATTTTTGAGTTTGTGCTGCCCTGGATTTCAGATGGAATTCCTGGCAGAAGTCTGGGAAAGCATGAACAGCACTTTGAGTGTGTTTCCAAAAAGGGGACGTGTGCACTACAGTCTGCGGCAGTGACCTACATTCATGTATTCTGTTTTCCACATGAGAGGAGAATGTGCATCACAAGATGTGGGACATAAAGGAAAGGTGCATATAGTGGTCTGTGTCTGTGTGTGTGTATGTGTAGATATGCATGATGGGGATCAGCTTTTTTAGATCAGCTAATGCTAAATCTCATCACAAAGGAAGCTCTATGCACCCTTCCTCGCTACATCTGCTACATCTGCTTCCTAAAAAGACGCGAAACGACACTGTTAAAGCCAAAAATACAAGCTACAGAAAGAAAAACTGTGGCTCGATAAAAAGCAATGCGGTGTAACAAAAAACAACAATTCCCCCTTCCTGCTTATGGCCTTGTGCCTATTTTTACCAAGTTGACAGCTGTCGCCGGGTTTGTTTATCTGGCCCGACCAGATTGGCCACCTCTTGTTCTACAGCGAGAGAATTTAACGTTTCACATGTGACAGCTTCATGGGTCTTTTCTGGGTAGATACAGAGAAGAGGAAAAGGGAACAGACAGTGGTGTGCGGGGGAGGGGGGGTAAAAATACAAAATACAGGGGGAGTCTGCCGTAGGGATAACACGGGGGGGTGTGGCTTCTTTCTGTACTTCTCATCAGTATGTGACAGGGATAACTTGTGTCAATGCAACGTGCATTGGACTTAAGTGGGTGGATGGATGAAGGTGGTAACTGTGCTCATGTAACCCACGGAAGCAACAATCTCACTCATAGTTTACGTGTCTGTTGGAATAGTTGTGGAACAGAAACCTGAAAGAATATTCAATACTTTTCAATTCCTTCTCACAGAGTTCAATGCTTTTAAAGATGTTGTAGGATATTAGAAACATATTGACGATCCGGTTCATAAAATTAATAAAATGCATATAGTGTACACCAGAATACAGCCATGACGGGCACTAGGGATGGTCAAAGGACTGACCTGGGGCCTGTTGGTTGCTGAGACCAGCGGCTCCTCAACTGAGATGTTCTTTTTACCACAACACCATCTCTTTTATTAAATACATTTGATTTTAACCTTTTGATCAGCGATGACCTCTGTCCGTCCGGCGTTTCTTCATTTTTGAATACAACAATTTGGTGACCCCGACGTGATGAGGAGCAATGGACGGACGGAGGAACAGCTGATCTGAACAAAGCCCAGCGATCGACTTTCTTCACTCACACAGCGCCATCGAAAAGGTAACCGGCAACCAGTTATTTTAAAACCGAAATGCTGTATAGCTTATCATAGAACATTTAGGTGTAAGTGGACAATATACGATGTTTTGAGGTAAACTGAATTTTAGAGAAAAAATAATAATTTTTCTCTTAGTTTGGATGGCCGTTGTGATAAAAAGCACATTGTATATAGTGTTTGTTTGGACGTCTTTTGTATGAGTTACCGACAAAGCTTGGTTGTGTAGCGTTAACGTTAAGCGAATGGGCGATGTTATTTCACTGTACTGCACGCATGTTTTTGGAACATTACAAGATGGCGGGCGGAGATAAATAGAGCAAATGGTTAAAAGATTCTCAGCACGGTCTACAGATGGGATAACAATGACTTGTTATCCACCATTACTGGGGGAGAACATGTGCTTTGGAGAGTTCCAAAATGGCAGCCGGCGACAGTTAAAAGAAGAAAGTTACAACAGATGTAACACAGTTTTTGAATTTCCCACCTCCACTCTGTATTTCCATTCAACAGTGCCTCCCCTGCCTCCATCTTCAATTGATTCTAAAAAAAAATTCTTCCTCCATTCTTAGGACCATGTGATTCTTGTTTGCATTACAAACGGTCTATGGACATTTTCTCTTAAACTTAGTGATAGGCTGCAAGTTGTTGAGTGTGGATATGGGATGTACAGTGCACGATACATCTCATACAGCATCTTAATGATGGAAGCAAGTTTTAGATCATAGGATAACATTAGTAATAGCAGTACAGAATGGAAAACTTTGTTACAGACCATCATCCTGTAATTATTTTATCAACAAATCATACATACATTTAACTACATATGATATATTGATATCATTTTCATTAGGAATACATGAATGTTCTAGGTCACTAACAAACCATGAGTTGAGTTTTGAGTTCACAGGTAGAGAACGCAAGTAAGCTGCCCTGACGACTGAGAATGCAAATGAAAGTCCAATTGTGATGGAAAGTCACAAAGACAAAGATCATCACACGTCCTAGAGCCCAGAGAGGCTGCAAGGAGAAAAGGAAGGAGCCGCGAACGGCAGAGGTCAAAGGATGCTGACAACTGACCAACAGGAGGGACTCAGCAGGTCTCCCATATACAACAACAAACAGGGAAGAGCTCGCCAGCCAGCGTTGAACTTTGAGCCAATGCAAAGACGTCTGAAACTGACCTGATGCTGATTCTAACACATTTATTTTGAGACATGTGTTAAAATAACACATGCCTCAACAGGAGGGATGTAGATATGGAACAATTTTTCCGAATTGAACGATGGGAAAACTTAACAAAATAAATTACTAAAAGAAAGATTTAGATACCGGAGGAAACGTATTGTCAACAGCTCACAAGAGTTGAATCAACAAACAGCTCACAATTTGACTTCTATTTCTGGAATGAATTTGAAATATTGTTCTTCTCATTCAGTCAGCAGGACTGATAGTAAAGTAAATGGTACAGTTAAAGCTAAAATTAAGAAAATAATGACTAGAACGGAAAGAATTAAGGAGTATTTAAGTAATGTTTAAATTTGCACAAAACACAAAGACCAGGAGGAA